AGTGGAAGCCCCCAATAGAAAAAAAAAAAAAAAAAAAACCTCTCCAAAAAAAAAAAAAAAGCAAACAAACACTGTCCCCCAGTACCACAAATTGCGTGGTGGAGTATCCCACATTTGGGGAAATTGCAGGGGTCAGCAGGTCGGAGTGCAGTGGATAAGCTTCACCCTGGGAAAACCACCTGAGTGATCATGGCATCTCCCCTGCCACGTGAATATAAAGAACTCTTTTTTCAGGGGCCAGTAGGTGGCAGGGTGATGGTTAAGATGCTGGACTCCCATGTGGCTAACTGCAGTTCAAGTCCTGGACCTGGTGGCTTGCTTTCTTGCTTTCCCTTTTTCTCTCTGGTCAAAATATTAAAATAGTAATAATAATAAAAACAAGTGGAATTGGATAAATCTTAAAATAATTTTTTCAGGGGTCAGCAGGTGGCATAATGATTAAGGGAGCTGGACTCCCACATGGCTGATAGCAGTTCAAGTCCCGGAACTGGCAGCTTGCTCTCTGTGTGTGTGTGTGTGTGTCATTCTCGCTCTGTCCTTCTCTGGTCAAATTAAAAATAAATAAATAAATAAGTAAATAAATAAAGTGAAATATTATAATTCCTAAAAAAAAATTTTTTTTTTTCTCATATCTACCATCCACCACTCACTCTCTTCCAACCCTTCTACACGTTGCGGTCTCTTGCATCCACACCTAGCCTCTCCGCCATCGCCTCTTCGGATCTGCAGTCGAACAGGTGGTAGTAATCCGGTGGCCTCACCACCATGCCGCCTGCCGGCCCCCCATTGTTTTCTTACAGCTCTGTAATATTCCTTGGTGTGTAAGTGCGACAGTCTTTCAGTCCAGTCGGCAGTTTTGGGACACTTAGGTTGGTTGCATGTTTCAGCAATGGTGACTAAAGTCTTTCCAATGGAGTGTTTTGGGTGAATACCAAAGAATGGGATTACCCAGAACATTCTGCCCCCTCCACATTTTTTCCAGATTCCACATGCCAACTGGCTAGTTCTTCTTTTAGTTTATATCATAAAGTCTGTATCCAGCACGGATAGAAAGAGCCGGCTGATACTTGTAATATTCTGCCTGGAGACTTTCCTACAGCTCACGAGGTCCATTTTCTACCCCCAGGTCATCTCGGGTGACGGCAAGTGTTTTGCTACTCTGGAATGTGGCTGCCGTTTTCTCTGACCCTGTCCTCACCGTTTTCCAGACTCCCCTGCCTCCTATCTACAAGAGCAATGGCACATATTTTAGAACTTTGTTAGAACAGCACCCACTTCTGATCCCCACTTCTGCTAGTTATTGTTGTGTGACGAACAGCTCCTCACCTTCCCAGTTTAAAACAATCCTAGACTGGGGCTGGCAAGTGGTGTGGTGGTTAAGGGCACTAGACTTGGCACATGGCCGGCAGCAGTTCAAATCCCGGACCTGGCGGCTTGCTTTCTTACTCCCCCTCTCCATGCTCTGTCCCTCTCTGATCAAATTAAAATAATAATAATAAATAAATAAAATAAAGTAAAATAATTCTTTTTTTCTTTGGAGAGGTTTTTTGCTATAGTGTATGTGCACTTGCCAGAAAGACAGAGAGGGACAGAGACAGAAAGTGAGAAATTACCCCCCAGGGGGGATGGCCATGCTACAATCCCTTCTCCTCCATTCTCCTCTCGGGATCTTGGGCACACATGCATGCATATGCGCCCGGCATGAGTTTAAGCCACCAGGTATGGGACTTGAACTGCGGTCGACTACATGAGAGTCCAGCGACATAGCCATTATGCTAACTGCTGGTCCCAATAATTCTTTTAAAAAATCATCATAGATTATTTCTCACAGTCAGTGGCCAATAGAGCAGTTCTGCTTAGTTAGCCTGGGCTTGCTCACACACCTGTGCTCAGCTGGGCGAGGGCCGGCTGGCCTAGGGAGTCGTCCTCTGGGACTACTGGGCTCGCCTCCACGTGTCTCCTTCACACCTCTAGCTGTTTGGCCCAGGAGCGACTTTGGCCTAGACCGAGCGTGTTTGCATTGCAGGGACAGAAGAGCACAGGAGGAAGTGCAGCAAAGGCACTGGTTTCATCTCCTGGCCTCGAACCTGCTAACCTCCTATTTGCCAATACAATTAGATGGTCAAGCCAAGAGTTTTTAAAATTTATTTTATACATGTGTGTGTGTGAGAGAGAGAGACAGAGACAGCACTTCCAACAGCGTCTTTTATTTTTTCAAGGATTATTTATTTGGGTCCAGCAGGTCACATGGTAGTGAACGTGCTAGACTCCCACATGGCTATGGTTCAAGTCCCAGACCGGGCAGTTTGCTTTCTCACTTTCCATCTCTCTCTGGTGACTGTAGCAAATTTAACGATAATAATAACAATAATAAATTTAAAAGGATTATTTATTTAATTTTATTTATTTTTATTTTGCAATTTGACCAGAGAGAGACAGACAGAGAGGGAAAATGAGAAAGCAAGCCACCAGGTCTGGGACTCAAACCAAGGTTAGCCATGTGGGAGTCCAGTGCTCTAACCCCCACACCACCTGCTGCCACCCTGCCCCCAACAGGTTCTTGATGCCACAGTCTGCATCAGCCTTTGCCAGAGACAGCTCATGAGCACACACCTGCCCAGCAAATGCAGGCAGGTCTCTGGCACAAACCCAGAACCTTCCACGTGGGTCAGCCTTGCGCAGCTTTGCATGCCACCTTCAAGCCCAGGGTTGGTTTTTTTTTTTTTTTTTCCTTTTTTGAGAGGGTTTTTTTCTATAGAGCACAAGCACTCATGAGAGACAGAGACAGAAAGCGAGAAATCACCCTCAGGGGGATGGCCACGCCGCAATCCCTTCTCCTCCATTCTCCTCTCAGGGTCTTGGGCATGCACATACACGCGCTGGCATGAGTTTTAAGCCGCCTGGTCTGGGACTCGAACTGTGGTAACTATGTAGGAGTCCAGCGACGTAACCATTACACCATCCGCTGGTCCCTCAAGGCCAGCTTTAAAGGGTAATGGGATAGACTTGGCGTCTTCTGTAAGAGAGATGATAAAGTCACAGGTCAAAGGAGGTGAACGCAGAGGGAGACAAGGAACTGGAATTACCAGTGCAACAAATCTGCCACTTACTGTTACTGGCTAGCTCATTTTTCACTTCTTTGAGAAACTAAATTGCTCTAAACTTAAATTAATAAATCAAATTATTGTTTAAAGAATTATTTTATTTAACTTTATTGATTAATTTTAATTTGACGAGAGAGGGACAAAGTGAGAGAGACAAGAGAGAGAAAGGGAAAGTGAGAAAGCAAGCCGTCAGGTCCGGGACTCAAACCTTAGTTGGCCATGTTGGAGTCAAGTGCCCTTAACTGTCATGCCACCTGCCGGCCCTAAAAAAACAAATGATTTAAGCAGATTTTCTTTTTTTTTTTTTTTTCATTATAGAGTTTTTTATTATTATAAATTTTTTTTTCTTTTCTCATCACAACACACATATGAATTTTCCATCCAAAATACACTGTGCATTGGCTCAATCAAGCACATCAACATATATGTTCTCAGCAAATGATTTCCCAATTTTTGTGTCCTGCATACCTTGCCTTTTGTTTTGCCATCCTAGGTTCCCCATCCCCACCCTCTGCCATGTCCCATCTTCCTCCTCCATTGTCCCTGACATTCATGATTGCCCTCAATGGCTTCCGCCCCCCCC